TCAGGGTAATTCACCTTCTGCTGTAGCTGTTGGTAGGAAAATGAGGATCTAGGTTTCAAAAACCTTATCTTGCCCTGGTTTGTTGGCAGTAGTTATTCTGCATTTTTGTAGAATATAAGTGGGTACCTTTTTTACCATTTTAGATTCATTTCTGTTTGGAGAAAGACTTAATTTTTCCAGCTGTCCAAATGTCCGTTTAGAATCTTTTATCTAATCCAAGAGAAAGTAGGCCCATATGCATATTATCGTTCCATTTTTTCAGCTAGCGTATTCCGTCACGTCAGCTAACTTTTATCGGTTACTTGCATAGTTAGCCAACTCATAAGCTATGAGCGATCTGGATGAAAACTTCATCAAAATATCCAAAGATTCAGTTATTTATCAGCCTAGGTAGCTATGGTAATTTAATGAATGACAGTAGAATTTTTCCTATACTGAAATGAGTAGGCCTCAGGCTGCCAGTGAATTTCATTTAATCCTTACTACCAAAAGGTTTGGTCCTGCCGACTGGACTGCAATTTCGACCGAGCCCAGGTCCCATCGGAACCCATAACGGAATTCGAAACCGGGTAGCGCACTTAAAGTATAAATTAGTTACCAGTCAACAACAGCCACGGGTGGCAGTGTGATTGGATTAGTTTTATAAACCATAAATAGTTCTTAAATAGCAACTAAAAATGTAATTTGGGAGACACATGGTTCACCTTAAAGTCACAATAGTCCTTTGATACGATGGCACTCGTGGCTATGTATTGGATTGGTCAAGCTTCAGTACGATGTATACAACCCGGTTTAGAATCCCTTTGAGGGTCGAAAGTTCAGTCCACCCTTGATGAAGATGAGTTTTAAGAGAAAAGGTTAAGTTCATTTGAGTGGCATATCATTGTGGGAAAAACTCTACTTTTATTCGTCAAACCGTTGTAAACCTAGTTTTAATTAAAAAATAACTAGATCCACTCTGAAAACGATTATACTTTTATGTACTTTAGTAGAAGGTATTGTTATTAATCAAACTGCAGCTCGAAAAATTCCCTATTAAGCTCATTATTCCTAATTTGACATTTTCTCTTCCTCTTTTTTGTAGATTCTGATATCATGAATCCTGCTTGTTCTCCGAGTCACAAGAATGAGAAAGATGCAGTCGACACGGACTCAGATTCGGCTCCTAGTTTAAGTCCAAGTGCAGGCTTGGTGAATGATAGCAGCTCAATGCTCATTGACTCTTCTTTCCCTACTATTCCGGTGACCAGTCTCTCTCCTGTCCCTCAAAGCCCAGTCGCTCTAGACACGGAACTCCATCATAAAGAAACAATTGCCCTATTTAAGGACTCAAGCGACACTCAAGTTAGTTGCCCAGACCAATCAGCCCCAGCAAGCAATGCAAACCTCTCAGCTTTACCTGTCTGCCCATCGCCATGTCTCTGCTCGTCATCTTCCGTACCTCCTATCACCTTATCCTCGACACCATCCTTGTCATATCCAGATTCGGTTCTCCGAGCAAAATGTATCCTAGCTCAGGATACTCACCAGCCAGACTCTTCTGGAATAGCCGATCAGAGGCCCCCTCAGCGTGTCATTCTTAGTATTCTTGACATGCTCGAAAAGTCTGACGCTGCTATGACTACGAAGACCGCAAATGAGAATGTTACATCTGACTCATCTTCACGTGGCCTCGCTTTTGCTGGAATTGAAGAGAGCAGCATGAGACGCATGATAATGCCGCATAACGAAGTGGATTCGAACGGATGTAAAGGAAATAACTATGCTGAAGAGGAATTTAAGACCGACGAGGAGAACTCTGCAGAAGAATTTGGTGTCAGAGCAGGCTTGCCTAAACGAACTAGATTGGCCTGCTCGTGCATAGTTGAGAAGGGGCCTGGGCATAGAATTGCAACCAGTAAGTCACGTCATTTCCAAGCCTTCTACCGAGAACCGGAGGATCAGGATGAAAAAGAAATCGGCGCCACCTCATCATGCCAACATGATTCAGTTTCCAAACTGAAGCAAGACCAATGCCTTCC